TATTATAATTATTTTATATTAAAATTGTCAACTTGCGATATTGATTAATTTTTACTATTCCGATCAACTAACGGTCAAATATATGGTTTTCATCTATTTGGACTTCAGCTCTATATTTTGAAAGATTTAGTAACGCGAGTGGCACAAATAAAATGTTTGGTACCGTGACTGCAATTTTCCCAAATAACTATACCAACATTTAAGCAAAATTTAATGTAGCTCATATGCTGGAATGTTTGATTTACATTCAAGAGGCTTGGGGTTCGATTTTATGTTCCTCCCCTCTTTCATTTAAATTTTTTGACATGGTAAATAATAATTAAACAATTATATATTATTAATTTTTGTTTTCGAAATAATTTTTTTAAGAAATTTATTGACTTAAATTATTAGTTTTATAATATATACTTTTATTTTTAGGTTTTATCGATTTATTATATAAAATTCAAATTTAGACAATTTAAGTATTGCTTTTTATTTTATTTTTTTTGAGTTTAAAAAACTCTTTTTCTTTTGGGATAAAGAATATTAGTTCTAAAATTCATTGTTTTAAAAATTATGTATAAGCTTCGCTTAAGCTTGAAATTTGTCTTTATCGTTTAATCATGTTTTATATATAAACTTCGTCTTGTCTCATTTAAGTTCTAAAACCTTGAAATTTGATCGCACATATAATTGAAAATGAATTTTTTTTTATTATTTTAGGTTTTATTATATTATACTTTCATACGTATATGATTTTACGTTATATATATATATTGATTAAAAACTTTTTAATATTATTTAATTAAATATTAATAAATAATGTTACTATTACAATTATCGACTATCAACAGTTGTTATGCCTCACTCAATATCTTGAATCCACTACTGCAAGAGTCATGAAGCGCGATCCAAAATCAAGTGGACGTAGACTCTAGTTGGTGAGCCTTATCCTTACCTACAAGGTTTGATATATTTGTGATTGTTAGAATTTGGGTATGATCAAAATTTCTTGTTGAATTGAAAAATTCAAATTTTAAATGTTATTAAGAGTCATATGTCAAATTGAAATTTTATTTTGGAAGCCCATTGAGAATTGTAATTTGTTTTGGACTCGATTTTTTGGTATCATATTTCATCAACAACTCTACTAGGAGGGTTTGGATATCTCCTACATGTTCCCTATAAATATTAGACACTTCTATACAATTTAAGAGGTGTGAAAAAATAGATTACTAGAATTATATGATCTATTGTAATTTTTCTCTCTTCTCTATTATTTTTGAGTCAATAAAATCTCTTAATTCCTCTACCATATTCTTGTCTTTATGATTCTTTTACTTGATCATATACTTCATTATTATTTGTTATATAATTTTAACATTTCAATCCGGTGGTTTGTTTCACAACAATTGATATCAGAACAATTCTGGTATTTTGATTGTTTTACAACGGGGATATAAATGAATGGGTCGATAATGTTGTGGACGTATACCGAATTTCTTTAGCCGTGCAAATACGAATAAGTCGATATATGGTAACACGGAAAAATGTTAGTCTATGTTACCAAATGCAATCTAGAAGTCACAATTTAGCGCAAACGACGAGCTTGAATTGTGTTCTCCCAAGTTAACAGACCAAATCTGCTGAAGGAGATTCTCTTGTTACCAAATCTAATATAGCCCTTGTTTGACATCCATTTTTTTCTCATTCACATTCTCATTCTCATTTTTTTCCCCTTTCTTCATTTCAATCACGCATTCTATCAATAAAATAATATTACACACAAACCCAAAAATTTTCCCTACTTTTTAAACACACATTTTTCCATCAATCACTATTCCAAATCAATTTTTCTCCAAAATGGGTGTCAACACACAAGCATAATTGTGAAGTATTTTTGTTTGTTTTAGCCCCGGTTTGGTGTAGTTAAAATCAGATTTTTAATAAATTTTGACAAAAGTTGATAAAATATAAAGTAATGCTATTCATCATAATTGGGGATGAAAGCACAGTTTACGTGGCATTAATATGATATTAAATGATATGTGAAATTAAATAAGTCATTTAATATCACATTTCATTTAACCTATCATTTAAAGTCACGTAGACTGTATTTTCATCCCCACTGAGGATGAATAATATTACTCTAAAATATATAGTTGAAAAGTTGACCCGTGGAATGATGATACTGGAATTTAACCACAGGGTTAGCCTCTGTTTGCAGAGATTAAAAATA